CCCCAAAACCCCAAAACCCCAAGACATTGAATATTCCAGAAATAAGAAAGTATTTTAAATGAGAAATTATAAGTACTATAAAAGTGATTTAATCCATAAAAGCATAATAACTCGTCCTTTTTAACATAAATCGATCAATTAAGTTTAATAATATAATCTGCATACCTAAAAAATATCTAAGCGAATGATACTTGATAAAGAGAGCTAAATCCACATCGAACTCATCGGTGAATCCACAAAGCAACCAAAGTAAATGAGATAAAAGCTGCTTGCTTCCTCTGTTGTTGCTTTAGCCACTGTTTTCATTGCTTTCTAGACATTAGGTAACGGATAAAGTGATCAAGTACTCCAAAATCCAACCAATCTTGCTTTGAAAGAAATCAATCTTGGAGAGTGGAAAAAACTAAACTCATTCGGTTTGCTTTCTGGACCAATCAAGAGTGTTCATGTCTCTCCAAAAGGAGATATCTACGTGCTATAAGATCAATAATTCCCATCATATTAAAGATCAGCAAACTTTAGAAGGTACAGCTTCAAGTACGATTCCTTTGAGGGCAGTTTACAGAAGTTTGCTCCAGCATTAGATGCTAAAATTAACGCAGCTGGAGAATACTTCTTGCTCCTCGAGAATGGGGAACTTAGAAAATACAAAACGGCAAGCGATTGGGAGCCATAATCCCTGAGTGGAATCTCAGAATTCGGATTGTCAAAATCAGGCAAGTTGCATCTTGTATTTAACGATGCATCTAAGGTTGGCTCATCAAATGCATTTGTCAATTCAGAGATAGGACAGTACAAGGCTTACAGATAGAATCAAGCTACCAGCATTGAGGTAGATGGTGAGGATCCTATTTTGGTGCTCAATGATAGACTTGTTGGCCTCGACAAGAGCTGTGTTAGCCAAGTTACTGCAGGATATGATGGAAGTATATGGGCTCTCTCTTGTGATGCATATAATGGTGCATCATAAGACAAAAACTTACTTAAGTGGGACAAGAAGTCCACTTAGTGGTCAAAGGTTAACGGAGCATTCGGAAGCAAAGTTGCTGCTCTGAATGAGAAATCTGTTGTGTTGGTAAGAGAAGACAACTCTGTTTTTATCATGAAAAATGGATTCACACAGACTGCTGCAAAGCCAGTCACCTCACTAATTAAGACTGGAATGTTCTCTGGAAGTGGAATTCTTTCAGATGCAAGCTTAATTAAATTTGGTTTGGAGGAGGAACACTTCACTTAGACCAGACTTTGCTACAGAGCTTCCTAAGATGGATTCAATGGTGATCTCTTTGTGAACTAATGCCGTGACAAGGGTCCATCAGTAACCATTGTAAAGACTAAAAAGGGAAAGATATTCGGTGGATATAATCCATTATCATGGTCATAAGTTGCTGCTGATGAACCTACTCCAAATGCATTCATATTCTTTTAAAACAGAAATCTTATTGTTCATCCTAAAAAGCCCAACCAATGTGCTGTTGAAAATACTAATGCAGGACCTAAATTTGGACCAGATCTATTCGTTGATCTTAGCTATCCTAACTCTCAAGCATCACGATTTGGTTTCATATTTGATGGAATTAATTACTTGTCAGTAGATGCTACAAAATTCCTAGCAGATGAAGTGGATTATCAATTGGCAGATGTGGAGATCTACCTACTTTCTTGAAGAATTGATTATTTGCTATTAAACCACAACCAAAATTGATAAAATGCAGATGATTGATTTAGAAATTTTTCAATAAAAGAAAAATTCCTTAATCTTCACTTAATTTATCTAATTCTTGAATTTATTTTCTTTCCTAAAATTTTCTTAAGGGGTTTTGGGGTTTTGGGGTTTTGGGGTTTTGGGGTTTTGGGG